TCGAAGCAGAGCTCGTCTTGCCTGAAGTCAGCCTCTGCTCTCAGCAGACACTGAGCTTCCTAAGAGCCCAGGTGCAGGTGTGAGACCACCCCGCAGCCTCTGCCAGACCAGCGGCCTCCTGCTTCCCCGGGAATCTCCCGCCCTACGGCCCCAGGACCCCAGCTCCCTCACCCTCAGACTCAGGCGTCCTGCTCCAAGTCCATGCCTCCCTTAGGACCCAACTCCGGCCCTGGGCGGGCACTTACCAGCAGCACCAGGCTCCTCCAGGCCGCGAGGCCCCCGCCAGCCCCGGCCATGTCTGCAGACACTGCCGAGGGACCCAGGAGTCCCAGGCCTGGTCCGTCCACCTGCTGGACTTTAAACCCAAGAATTTCCACTTTCCCGGCCCACTGGTGAGGCCAGAGGGCAGGGCGGGAAGGGGAGGAGAAGGAAGTGGAGGCTTCAAGCGTGAGAGCCCAGCTCCCAGCCCTGCCCCGGCCCTCACCTTCCTTCCTCACCTCTGCTTCTTGCCCTGACATTGGAGACTCCTCCGATCTCGTTCCAGCCCTGCTTGAATCCTCACCCCCAGCCCACCCCCCTTTGTCCCACGAGAGCTCCCTCTGCCGCACCCAGTAGGTCCCCACCTCCCGGCCTCTGCAGACGCCGTCTCCTGCCAGGCGCCCATGCCTGCCTTCTCCCAGAGCCTCCTCTCCTCCTCCAGTAGGATTCCGCCCAGATGTCCCCCTGGCTGCGTCAGAGGCCTTCTTAGCCCCGTCAAGCCCCTGTGGCACACAGCAGACTGTATTTGCATATCCACCTTGCCACCTTCTACCTGGGACCTTGAGCAAGTGACTTAAATCCACAGTGACTCAGATCCCTCATCTGTAAAGAATGGGCACAGCCCCGTGTAAACGTGCTGCAAGGAGCGAGTGAGCTGGTATGTAGAACGTCGGAGGACAATGCCCGGCCCGTTTTAAACACTCAATAAATCTTAGTCATGTTTATTTTTCGTTCATCCCTGGACCTCCGGCAGGGACTTGGCACTAGGACTTTTCAGGGTGTTTTTGATGCCTTACTGATCACACATGCACCCAGGCTGCCTTAACTTCACAGGTACTATGGAAGTTAAAAATACAGATCCCAGCCGGGCACAGTGGCTCACTCCTGTAATGCCAGCACTCTGGGAGGCTGAGACGGGAGGATCACTTGAGCCCAGCAGTTCGAGACCAGCCTGAGCAAGAGTGAGACCCCATCTCTACAAAAAATAGACAAATTAGCTGGGCATCATGGTGGGTGTCTGTAGTCCCAGCTACTCGGGAGGCTGAGGCAGGAGGATCGCTTGAGCCCAGGAGTTTGAGGTTGCTATGAGCTAAGATGACGCCACGGCACTCTAGCCCAGGAGATAGAGCGAGATCATGTCTCAAAAAAAAAAAAAGAATACAACTCCTGGAGTCATATGCCTGGTTTTTGTTCTTACTTACGTGGTCTTGAGCAATTCATTCAACCTCTCTATGTCTCTGTCTCTTCGTTTTTAAAATGGACTTCAAATACTATCTACCTCAGATACAAAGCAGCTACCTGCTTCTGGCCAGTTCTGGAGACATAGATATCTCCAGGTCCCCAACTGGAAAAAACGTTGCCCATTGGTCAGGTCAGTGGAGTCTGATAGAAGGAGGTAGGGGTCTACGGCCATACCACCCTGAATGCGCCCGATCTCATCTGATCTCAGAAGCTAAGCAGGGTCGGGCCTGGTTAGTACTTGGAAGGGAGAAGGAGGTCGGGGGCCTCTCTGGGGTTAATTGTCACTATGTATCAAAGGGTTTGGAGAACAGTGATTGACATGGGAAACATCTTCCTGGT